GTACAGAAATGAAATGCATAATAACTTTGAATTATTCTTCTTAATCACAGAAACTAGGGCATGTGAACAAGGAACTGGATGCAGCCTTCACCAAGGAACCTTTGCAATCTGTTCTTCCTACGTCACCAGTCCTTAAAACAGCCCAGTGCTTTAAGAAAGAGCAGCCTCTCTTGAGTGGGAATGACCGTATCCGAGCAATAGAGGGCTCCAACGCAGCAGACAACCGGTACAGCGAGTATATGGAAGAGCTCTCCAAGGCAGAGCCTACTGTTGTCAGCCTGGAGTATGGAGTGGCAAAAATGACATGTTAGATGCCATGCAGGCATCTTTGCCTTGTCCTTCTGAAAAGACTGAAATTCAAGATGGCATTGTGAACCTGGTCTCCAGGACCAGGATGAGAACCAGATTTGTGTAATGGAGAGCCTCATGAATGTTGATTGTAGAACAGCTCATTAGTTGTTGAGGAAATGCTGTTCTTGCGAGGAGAGATTGAATGTAACAATATTGGAAAAAACGGTGGGGAACTTAGTAAACCTTTTGTGGCTTAAATAACTAAAGAAAAGAAGAGGTTTAAGATAACAGACTAGTTTGCACTAGATGACTCATAATGTTATTTAATGTGTCTGTTGCCAAATGGTTAATAGTCTTTGAAGGTGGACTTCCTGGACAGAACAGACTACTTAACCTGGACCACTGAAAGTATATATACGCAATGCATATGGCTCCTGTTTAACCTGTTGCTTGTTACTGTTTTCTGTCATCTCAATGCTGCCAAAAGTCCCATGTATCAGACTAGAAAAACTATCCTTATATATTTCTGTGCTTTTTTCTTTGAGAATGATAGACTCTGAGAAACTCCAAAATATGCACAATGACTTTACATGAAAATAATTCCCTAAGTCCTTCAGATATGAGAGAGATGTGCAGTACTGTATTTTTAACTATGGGCATGTTAATTTCATTAGTAACAGTGAATTTCTACTCTCTCTTCTACTACTCTTTCTCTTCTCTTTTTCTTCCTATAAAAAAAAATTGGTTACACGGATAGTTAATGGCTTGAAATTGCAACCCGAAGGCAGGAAACCTGTACAATTCTTATCTGGTTAGTCAAATACAACTTAAGTGATAAGGCTTGTAATCTATTTGTATCCATGAAAGGAGCTAAAATGTTTCAAGCTAAGTTCATTTAGTGAAAACAGAGCTGGTATTAAAGAAAAAACTGCATGTCAGACTGGCCAAACTTTCAGACTATGCAGTTTTAGTAACTGCAGAAAAAATAGTTACAGGCTTAAAAAAGCAGCACCTGTCTTTATAGCTTTCAATACATGGTTGGTGGTCTTGTTCATTTTGCAAATCTGTTTTTAAAAAGAAGCCTTAAAAAAAAGATTTTTAATTAGTAAAAAATACTACATTTAGTTAAACCTGTGCATACGTTCCCTTGAATAATGAAGGAAACAACTTTTCTTACTTCAGAATTGAGAAAGAAATAAACATGTTTACAAGCCAGGTGACAGCAGACTCTCTAAAGCCACTTGCTTTGAGGAATGGTCAATATTCACATCCTTGGGATACAGCAAACCACCTAGGATCAAATTGATCTCTAATTAACGTGAAGATTTGGTTAGTAGGGTTATGCTCCACATCTTGTATAGGAAAATCAAATGTGTCTCTAATGTCTTTGTTTCTGCTACACCAGAAGATAATGGATTTGCTTTGATGCATGTTCCTGTCTCTTTTTTGCTATTCCCGACTTGTTTTTATTGTCCAAATGAAGAAGGGAAATGAGCTACGAGAGCTGAGTTTATAAACATGCATCTTGGGGGTATTAAGCTTCCTAGATGGCATGGTAGGCTAATTTGTACCTGAGGGATCAAATGTGTATTTGGCTCAGAGTGAAAATTAGTTTAGGCTTGCTCTAATCCCTGGTGGATGTTTGATAAAAACTGCCAACAGCCCACACGGAATTTGACACAATTGGCTGTGTCCTTCTGTTGTTGGAATCCAGGCAGTAATAACAAGGGCAACGCAGGTCATAATCAAACAGAGCTGGCAAAACTGGAGAGGAAACCTTAGCCAGAGTATTTCAAGGGGTTAACAGGTTTTAATTGTGACATGTTTAAAGAAGGAGCAAGTTGAAAGCTTCTGTTTTTCAGCATGTCTTGATATACTTATCCACAGATGCTGGTGGGGAGGGGAAAGTGGGATCCTGCGTTGAGTGTGGTGAATCTCATGTAACTGTGTGCGCTCATGTTTTTGCCATTTTATGTATGGTGTGGATTTCGCATTGGCACTAACTTTTGAAAGGTGCAAGGGCAGAGAAATATGTGCCTTGTGGTTGTTTCTCCCTCTAATTATCTTCTATGGATTTAAAAAACTTACATGTTAGCTGAAACAGATAATATAGCACTAAATGTTGCATCACACTTGTTTCTTGTAATCTTTTTATATTAAAATTAGACCATGGGTGGTTAATATTAAGCTTCTTGTGGAATTATGGAATTTGCTTTTTAAAACCAATCACATGAATCATATAAGTATAAGCATTATCAAATGGATGTTTTAGGACCAAACAAGGTAATGATGCTGAACACTTCACCTCAAATTGTTTTAGAGTTAAAAATACTAATTAGTAGCTAATGGGGGATAGAGGAAGCTTTGCTAGGACTGTGGCATGAGGAGTAAGGGAGGTTTAAATCTTTCCAGTAAGAGCTTCCTTCCCTCTTGGGGCTGATAACTGCCGCAAGGGGGCAGAGTTCACTGAAACCATGGCAAGAGAGGAAAGGATTGTGTTTCTTCTATGTCTAGTCCTGGCTAAAACATCAAATAGGTAATTTCAGGCAATATGTATAGTGTCCTATCTACCAGCATGTGCTCTCATGTCCTACTTAGGGCTTCCACAGGCAGCCGGTGGCCACCATGTGAACAGATCGCTGAACCAGATAAGCCTTGGGTCTGATGCACCAAGACTCCGAAGTTCTTTTTATGTTACTTTGATCTACAGACTTGAAACAGAAGTGTTCATATAATGTGACAATTGTTTGTTGATAAGATCCAAATCATATGAAAAATAGACCTAACATTGTTGGAACAGTAGGGGCAGCTTGGAGCAGCAAGGGTAATTTGAATGCCTCATTGTGTTCAGTGGGTTTGGTTTGGTTTGGTTTTTTTGAACCAGAGCCAAACTGGCTGTTGAAGTTGCCTGCTGACTAATGCTAGCATCCCTCTTTGCAAATGTTTTGCAAAAGTTGTTCTTTAATCAGTTGGATGCTGAAGTTGTATGTGTGTGTAGCCGTGTACCAGCATACATGCACAAGTGCGCATACACACAGCTTTAGGGAGAGGCCATAGCTGAGTGTGACGGCACACATGCTTTGCATGCTGAAGGTTGCTGGGTCAATCCCCAGTATCTCCCCATAGGGCTAGAAAAGAATTCTGTGGAAAGCCCTGGAGAGCCAGCACCAGCCCATATGGGTAATACTGGGCCCGATGGCGCCATATGTATTTACATGATTTACATCTCTCTGCTTATTCCAATATGGAGATTTCAGAGCAGTGAATGATAAAAGGTATGACAAAGTAAGAGAACAATACATTAAGAATAAAAACAAACCCATGATTGTTTAGGTCAAAAACGCTTCCTGAAATGTTCTCAGTAGACACTGAAATATTAGATGCACAGAATTTCAGAAAAATGGAATGTGGAAGGGTTTTTTTGGGGTGGACTTTCATAGAAACAGAGCGAGCCAGAAGGGACCTCCTGGGCCATGTACTCTGACCCCCGGCTCCAGCTGGCTCCGCTCATGACATGCCTACTAAGTCATACAGTCAGGTCATACGGTATTCGGCAGCATAGACATAGGGGTACAAGGTGGCTGCAATTAGGCCATAGAGTTTAGGGCATCTTATGCCCTTATATTCCATTGATGACTCTTACGAAAAAAGAAAAGGCATTCAGGTATTTGAAGCATGAAGGGAAGGAAAAGATGGATGGCTGAAATTGGTATGTGAACATCAAATCACAAACCATAATTCAATTGTGAAAAACAATGCTCGCTCTATACTGGGTGCAGTATCTGTTCAATTTCTAAGTGACCATATGGACAGGCACAATCCTAGATAAATTTAGGCAGAATAAAGCCTACAGCTCCCAGCATAGCCCACCCAGCTCTGCCTAAACTTGCTCTGAATTGTGCCTTGAAGGTCTTAAATCTATTAATCTATTCAATCTTTTTCAAGATCAGGACCTACATGATGATTGCAACCATCATCCATCCGTGTAAGAAACCAACAATGACACTTAATACCTTTTTCAATTTTTCTGCATTTGTTTATTGCATATTACTGAACCATACCTTAAAGAAATGAAATGAAATCTCTCAGCCTACTGGTGATTGAAATGTCTGTATCTGTAACTGCCTCAGTATCTTCAAACTGTCTTCTGATAATTTTGTACAGATACACCAAATCAGTGTATATGTACCATATTTATAAGATGCCCCCATGTATAGGATGCCCCCCACTTTTCTTACCTATCTCTGAGCGAGCAAGCTGCTGCTGAGCACACGCCTGCCACCTCGCCACCTCCCCCCGAGCGCACCCGCGATTGCACCAGTCTCCCCCCGAGCACGCCCACGATCATGCCACTCTCCCCCCCGAGCACACCTGCAATCGCACCACTCTCCCCCCCCAAGCATTCCTGTCGTTCTTCTCTCCCCCCCCCCAGTGTATAAGACACCCCTCCATTTTTAGATAAATATTTTAAAGAAAAAGTATTGTCTTATACACGGAAAAATATGGTAAGTGTAAAATATTTGCTGGTGGTATTACAGACTTATCCTAACTTTTTATCTTTTCTGTATTCTCTCAATAACTCCATAACTGTGAGAGTCAGCAGGTGACCCAAGTCAAGCTATAAGCTTCCAGACTGAATAGGAACTAGAACCCTTAACACTGAATCCAAATACAGCACTAACCACCAAACACACTGCTTTTCATCTATGTAGACAGAAGTGAGACCAATGCTAGGTTGCCGTATATTCTATGCTTGTTGCAGGGTGTTTCTGTTTGGGATCCTAGCCTATCAATCATCCCTGCTTCCAAGAAGACTTGTTTCCAAATATATAAAAAGAACATTCCCGCATGCATCTTTGAAAGCTTCCCACAAGCTAAGACATAGAAGGTGTCATCCTGTATATATACGATCAGCTGAGGCTGGAGAAAGTGCACTATGGTTGGTATCATCTGGAAAAAACAATATAAAGTATTGCCTGCTTGTAGATCTATGGTCTTTATTAAAGAAAGGATGTACAGACTTTTCTAGGAAGAACGTTAGGGCCTTTCTCTTACCTGTTCAGGGGGATTTCCTTTTAGTTACAGAGTTCTTGCAGGAGGAAGCTCTTGGTTCATTTTGGGAACACTTTGGCAAACATTTTAGGTTCTGTGTCTACATTAGGTTAGTTCCTAACTTGGCAAACCCAAAAGTTACAGTATAAATGGGTTTACATTTGGCCCCATTCATCCAAGTGATAAAATTGCCTCTTTCTCAGAAGCTGTGATTGGGGGAAAATCCTGTAGAAGTAGTGCCGTTATGAAAAACTAACCCAATTTTAAAATGTTCTTCCCACCCCCAGGTTAATAGAGGTACCATTCTGTTAAGAGCCATGTGGGTGAGAGTTAATTGTGTAGCAAGATCCTTTTTGTTTAATTGGAGCTTTAAATTTCCATCCCTTTGCTTTTGTAGGACAGCTGCCAAATGGGCATATGAGCAAATGCAGCAGGGCTCTGCTGAGCTTGTGCATTTTCCATACATATCCAATTACCAGTGACCTGAATTTAGGAACGTGGCAAATGAGAAGCATCTACCCACAAAGATGAGCAGAAGCATCCCTACTGTTGCCTGGTCTCTTGCCCACCTTTGCAGTTTCAAATCAAAACAACAATCTCATGGTACGCTTCAAAGACTAGGCTGAAATGAGAGAAGACAGGAGCCTTTTCTTGCCTTAGCTGCGAAGAATGTCCTTCTAGGAAATGGCATTATGCATTCTCTTTTGCCGCAGTTATTTTTTTCCGTGCCAAAGACCCTTTTAAAAAAACCAATCAGGCTCCTGCAGTAATACAGCACATCTGGAAAGTGCTGAGATAACGCAATACTCTGATCCTGCTACATTGCCAGAAGAGCCCTATCCATCCAGTCCATGCTGAACAAAGACTCATTCCAGAGGGAATGAAGCCAAGAAGGCAAGGCTTTCCTACTGCGCCCTTTTGCAAACACTGCCATGGAATGTCATTATTACTGTTGCCACTTTTCCCCAAGCCAGCAAAAGGGTGTGTGCTTTTTTCACTCCTATAAATTTTATTTTTTTCCCCAGCACAAAATCACTGCACTTCAATTTAGCACATTCAGAGTGCATCTAAATTGGCTGGATCACTCAATCAGAGCCTATCCCAGTGCTTAATAAATGGAATCCAACTTCTTTTGAAAGTCTGAATGGACTTTCATGGCAACTTACTTTTGTTACTTTATTCATTGCCATGGTAGTCCATTGCACCAGAGATCACCTGTATACTGTTAGCCAAGCTGTTACTAAGAGGGTCCTTGTGAGCTGTTAATGTTCAACACATACTCAGCCCTTGACTGTGGATCATCATGTGGGCTGAACCAGGTCAATATATTGATCAGACTTTCTGGAGGCCTGTAAGATGCATGAAATTTGGCTTTGCTAGGGAAGCTGCCTTAACCCAGGCCAAAGTGGGAGTTCTTTGAGCCCACCGTTGTCTGCTATGCATGGGCTCATTGTTTGCTATGCATGGCAGCAGCTCTCCAGGACATCTGACAGAGATGGTTTCTCTTCATCTGCAAACTCATCCTATTTTTGCTGGTGATTCCAAGGACTGAGCCTGGGACCTTTGGCATACCAAGCAGGTGCTCCATCACAGAGCTGGGGCCTTCCCCAAGGCTGCCCCAGATTTCTCCTTAATGAAATAAATGAGACCAGCCCAATCAGTGGCAGAGCAAAGCATTTGCACTAGATGCTAGATACAGGCATATGTGAAAGGCCAGTGGAGGTCTGAACAATTTGGATTCAAAATAAGCTGCTAACTTCACAGTCAACAAGAGGACAGGAGAACTGTGGCCCACCAGAAGTAGCCAATAGAATGATAAGAATTGTGGTTCAACAAAATATGGAGAGCTTACACATTCCCTAGTCCTGCCTTACAGTGTCTGATGAGGAATTGGAAAGCATCCCTGTATTGCACACAGCGTTCCCATACCAGATGGGCTGGCATGGAGGAAATTTGTGGGAAGCCTGCAACCCTACCACTAGGCAAAGGGAGGTAGCATGGAGCTACAGCAGTGCATTGAGAGGACAAGGCTGCCATGCGTGACCCCATAAAGTGCCTAAGCTAACCTGCAGCTATCA